CTATCTATCTGCCTGTCTGTCTGTCTGTCTGTCTGTCTGTCTATCGTTATGTTCTATCATCTCTCTCTATCTATCTATCTGTCTATCTATCTATCTATCTATCGTTTTGTTCTATCATCTAAACATCTAGTACCGTGCAATAAAAAAAAATGCCAGAGCGAAGGTACAAAAATCAGTACTTTAGCACAAAAACCTGCACCTTATTGGTGGTGTTCGAAAGATGAAAAGTGCAGTAAACAGAGTCATTCTATCTATCTATCTATCTATCTATCTATTGTTATGTTCTATCATCTCTCTCTCTCTATCTATCTATCTATCTATCTGTCTGTCTGTCTGTCTGTCTGTCTGTCTTGGAAGCCTGTATGATTTAAAAGATATGAATTTTAGCCAATATTAACTCCACAAGCACTAGTATGATATAATTTATTTCGTATTTATTTCGTATTTTAAGAGCAACATTGATTTATGATCTTGAAGACCTTCTGATCTCATTTGTTGTGCTTGAATACTTGAAATGAGTTTTGTAGACATGTATAAATTGGGCGATTTTAACCAGAACGTGAAGGAAAACCAGTCAACAAGTGTTCAGTATACATGGATCTCCAATACTTTAATACTGCTTAAAAGCATCCCAGCGTGCATCTCTTGAAGCTGCTTGCATGATAATGTTGTGTGTTTTGTGTTCAGGTGGAGTTGTGGTGTTCGCTGTGAATTCATTGCTATATCTAAACCAGAGCGTTCCTCCGTTTGGAGTGTCACTCAACAGTCAGACCAGCGGCACCACAGCTTTCCCCTTGAGTAAGTTCACCGGAGACTGCTTCCGTCCCCAAAATAACATCTTTACAGTCAAAGTTAGGATTACTAATTGATGAGCTTCACTCTAATTCAGTCTGGTTTGCTCTTCAGGGCAACAGGAGGAAGTGAAGATCACGCTGGACTGTTCTCAAGCATCCTTCATCACTTCAGATAAGATGGTCATCTCACTAAAAGGAGGAGAAATGTGAGAACTTCTGCTTTTAGGACCATAATGTCACATGACGCCATGTTTTATGTCACATACAAACTGAATGGGTGTAAACCGGTCGATTGGGACAGAGTTCTGACCATGTTTGTTGACGCGTGTCTTGTCGTGTGTGCAGCTACGTGTTGACGCTCATCACAGATGGCATGAGGAGCGTGCGGGCGTTTCACTTCGATAAGGCTGCTGCCAGCGTCCTGAGCACCTGTGTGAGTGATCAGCTGTGCCAGATCGACTCTTAGAAAGTATCGGTCGCTAATACTCTGCGCCTGAACACAGACACTCACACACTCCCTCGTTTCACTTCGATAAGGCTGCTGCCAGCGTCCTGAGCACCTGTGTGAGTGATCAGCTGTGCCAGATCGACTCTTAGAAAGCATCGGTCGCTAATACTCTGCGCCTGAACACAGACACTCACACACTCCCTCCATCTCTCTCCTCTCAGATGACAACCATGGAGGCCGGTTATCTGTTCTTGGGCTCTCGTCTGGGCAACTCACTGCTGCTCAGGTACACTGAGAAACTCCAGGAAACACCAATGGAAGAGGGCAGAGAGAACGAAGAGAAAGAGAAACAGGTGTGTGAACCCGTGTGAAGAGAAGGACACTTTAGCATACTTTTAAAAAGACTTATTGTGGAAGTAATATACTTTAGAAGAATAGACTTAAGTGTGAACTCAGCGTCATTTCAGACAGTTCATTGCATGTTAATTGAAATTAAATAAAATTGAAATTAAATTAATGTTTTATAGTATTTATTTATAGTAAATACAATTTACTAAAACTTAAGTGCTTTTTGACCCACTTAAGTAGTACTTGCACGTCTTTATATGGAATTTCATAATTCTATTGTCTTTGAAATATGGTTAAAGTGAACTGCTGAATTTACTCTCAAGCATTTATGGTAAACTAAAATATACTTTAAAGTAATTTCTACTGAAACGTCTATGTCATGTATTTAAATGTATTTGGAATTACATATTTGGAATGATAAAGATGCATTTTAGTACATTTCAAATATATTCACTTTAAATGTAATATATCACACCACAGTTAAAATTATAATCCTTACATGTGTGCTAGTCAAAATAAGAGCACTTATTTAAAGCATGACAAAAGATTATTAAATAATAATTTTAAATGCACTGTTAAAGAAAAACATTTAATTTTACTTTATTTCAAACTGGCCTTTTTTTAAAAGTCTACTTAAGTGTGTTAAACACTCTCAATTAAGTGACCTTTTATTTCATTAATATTATATTTTCTGCATTTTTGTTTTTTAAATATATACTTTTGTAGAGTATTTGAAGTACACTACAAGTGTGTATTTTATTCAATTAAAGGCAGAGTAAGTGATTTTTCAAAAACACTTTAGAAAACTGATTCGGGCCGAATCGCAAAACAAACTTGTAGTTTTGGTGATTTCAAATATCAACATTGGCTACCAGAAATCCCTTACTCTGCCTTTAAGCACACTTGTCTTTCTTAAGGGAATAAACGTATATAAGCTACAGCAATAGTTTATCCAATTCTGCTGTTGTACAATGCTGGTATTGCCAGTCATATAAACAGTTAAGAGGATAGGATAGTTTTGTCATTCACAATACATTTTTCATAAAATGTCCTTTTTAAGCAAATCAAGTCTTTTGTAAGAAGGATCTGAAGCTTCTTACTCGTATTGAATATCTCGATCTTCTAGGAGGAGCCTCCGAATAAGAAAAAGCGAGTGGATTCAACTAACTGGGCAGGTAGTGTAATTCATAGTCGTGATGTACGAGGTTCAGATATCTGTGCTGTTGTGTTGTGTATATATATGTGTGTGTTACTGTGTTCAGGTAAGGCCAGTCTGCCTGATCATCCTATCTGCAGCACCCTATTGCTATTTCCCATATCAGTGAGGTATTTAATACTGAACCCTGAGATACAGTATGAAAAAAAAGAGACATAATTAGTCTCAAACTATTAGTTGCATTAACAGTTTGGTTGAGAAAATATTGGTTTCTGATTAATTGTGATACGACATCAATTCTTCCATCAGTTTCAGACTAACCCAGAGCCGGATCTGGAGGTGGTGGTGTGCTCGGGATTCGGCAAGAACGGAGCTCTCTCTGTACTGCAGGTATGATTATCTGTGCCGTCACTGTACCTTCGTTTCTGTACTCGTAGACGGCCGGTGCACTCCTGCATGTATGCGCGTGCATCGCAGCTGGGTCTGTTTAAAGTAAAGATGCACCGCACGCGGTCCTGCAGCGGTGAGGCTCGTCTGCCACCGGGCTGCTGTGGGTGCTACAGTCACGTCTGGGCTTTACCAGGGCTGCCTCAGAGATGGTCGGAGAGGCCTTTAAAACACCCGAGATACAGCAGAGGCACACTGCTGATGCACCGCTCATGCATTTCACTCGGGATGCATGACACCTGTGTTATTTGTCTTGAGTGCCTGTGTTCATTATGAACCTGAGGCTCCGTTTACACCTGTTGTTAACATGCGTCTCAGGCAAGTGCCAACCTCCTGGTCTCTTTAGTGAAGCTTCAGAAACCTACGGGTGACGTCACGGACACTACGTCCATGTTTTTATACAGTCTATGGTCTCAGGTGGTTTGATTTTGTTTAATTTGGGGTCCAGAAAACATCCCAGTATGTATATGTACCTCATGAATGTGGTTAATACAATATTCAGAAGCTGGAATTTTGGAAAGGTGTCAACTTTAAAGATGAAAAAATTTTAGACCGTTTTGATTTGTTTAACACAAAATTCCAGTTCCATAGTTTTAAAGACTTTATTCTAACATGTAATAAGGAATCAAAAGGTTTGTCTTTTGACGTGTAGTGTACTAGAGACACCTCCCTTAAATCCGATGCATTTGTAAATACCAGCTCTAAATGGGGATCTGTCTCAAGTGACCAGTTTTGATCGGATCACATGAGACAGATGTTAATATCAGGCGTGAAGAGGGCTTGAATCTGCTCGCTCTACAGGCACAGATCATAATTTCCCTTCTGTCAGAAATGGCATCACAGCAGCACGTTTCTGGTGTGAATACATTTCAGTGCCAGTTTCAACATAATTGATGAAGGAGATTTTAGAAGTTGAGCGACACAAATGTGTATATTTTTTATTTATTATTTTAGTTTGATGTCATGTTGTTAGAATTGCCCTTTTGTGATTAATTTTACTGGTTTTATTCATTTGGTTAAGGCTTATGTTTTATTGTTGTGAAACACTATTTGTAACATCTGTAAATCATTTGTAAATCTGCTATTTGTAGAATTGACCATTCTGATAGTACATCATTGCTCAATAATCACGTTTTGATGCATTGTGTGTATACATGGATATTTAAAGGTCTTACATATATATTGACAATGGAAAAATCCATACAAGTCAACTGTTATTACTGAAAGTATATTAAATTCATGATATTGAAGCATTTGCTTTTCTATAGAAAAGTATCAGACCACAGAGTACTTGGCTGATTAACAAAAACATTAACTTTCCATCGTGCTATTTCCCATATCATTAACAGCACATTCAGTGTATAATGATCATTTATAGTGAATTTCAAGTAAATGTTTCTTTAATTGCATTGTGTACGTGTATACCTCAATTGCTATAATTACATTTTATTAGCCTGAATATATTGACAGAGAAAAGTGTTTTTCTTAGTATTTTTGTTCTTTTTTCAAACTTAAATTAAGAGACGGTTATTTGAAATGCAAAATGATGTAAGAAGCCTTGTTTTCTGAGATATTTATCAAAATTAAGTAAGTTTATGCATAATACCAGAAAAAGCCAGTGGTGTAAGAAATATAAACTCAATTTGAAAGGGAAACGTGTGGGTTTTTTGGGGGGGGGACCCCATTTGCGGTAATTTTTTCTGGTTTTAACCACAAACTCTCATACATTTCTCAAAAAAAATAAAATGAAATAAAATAAAATAAAGACGACTTATGTAATTTTTAATTTCAAGTAAATGTCTCTTGATTTAAGAATTTGTAGATATTTTTACTTGGAAACAAGACAACAATACTGAGTAAGAAAATCACTGTTTGCAGTGTTGGCTTTGTGTATGTATTTATATTCATAGGTCACACATATATATTGACAATATATTGGCCTCTGGCAGTTGAAAAGTCCATAAAGGTCAACCATTATTACCAAACTTTTATTAAATTTGTGATATTGAAACATTTATTTTGCCGTTCTGTAGAAAAGCATCAGACCGCAGGTGGTCACAACGTTTGAACTTCCTGGATGCCATGACATGTGGACAGTCATTTACTGTGAGGAAAAACCTGAGAAGGTGATTTGTTACGCTCATCTGCCGCTTTTTCTTTTCTTTTTTAATGCAGATCAATGCAATTATAAATAAGACATGCTGATGTTTTAACTTTGAAACGCTGTGTGTCTGTAGTCTCCACCAGAGGGCGATAGTGAGGGTCCTGAGGAGGAGAAGCAGGAGCAAACAGTGGAGGATGACAAGAACAAACACGGCTTCCTCATCCTCAGCAGAGAGGACTCCACTATGGTAATCAAAGGCTGTATTCTCTATAACACTCATTCTAGGCATATATACTACTATATATGCTGTTCCCATTACTGCTTTCTCATATGAGCTCACTGGCTACTCTTCAGCCGATCGCAATGATTAGAGTCAATGCCATTTCTGGAGGTCTTATTTGCTCTTTCAGTGATTCATTGCTCTTGTGGTGTGTTTAGATCCTGCAGACGGGTCAGGAGATTATGGAGCTGGACACCAGTGGTTTCGCCACGCAGGGTCCCACTGTGTATGCGGGCAACATCGGAGACAATAAATACATCATCCAGGTGTCTCCTGTGGGCATCAGACTGCTAGAGGGAGGTGAGGGGCCAAACCAGTGTAGATCTAAACGTGACCGTATGATGGGTGGCCTGTGTCTCATATGGTCTCTTCTTGCTCTCAGTGACACAGCTCCACTTTATCCCTGTGGACCTGGGCTCTCCCATAGTGCACTGCTCTGTGGCCGATCCCTACGTGGTCATCATGACAGCAGAGGGAGTGGTCACCATGTTTGTGCTGAAGAGTGAATCGTACATGGGGAAGAGCCACCGCCTGGCACTGCAGAAACCACAGATCCACACGGTCAGCCCATGCAGACATCAAGCACATTACTGATCAAGCGTTTGCTTTCGTAAGAAGTCTCTGATGCTCACCAAGCCTGCATTTATTTGGTCAAGTTATTTGAAATGCAGAATTGGTGTAGGAAGTCTTGCTTTCTGAGAAGTGTATCAAAATTAAGTTTATGCTTAAACAGAAAAAAAAAAAACGTCAGTGGTGTAAGATTTATTTTATTTATTTGACCCCATTTGCAATTATTTTGTTCTGTTTTTAAGTGTAAACTCGCTAAAAAGACATGTATGATGACTTGCGTCATTTTGCATTTCAAGTAAGTGTCTCTCGATTTAAGCACTTTTAGATATTTTTACTGGAAAACAAGACTCTCTAAAAATCTCTCTAACTCTTTTCTTACTCAGTCTCTTATGTTCACCAAGGCTGCATTTGTTTTATTACTGTTTATAAAAACAGTAATATTGTATAATATTATTACAATTTAAAATAAATGTTTTCTATGTGAATATATTGTAAAATGTAATTTATTGCTGTGATCAAAGCTGAATTTTCAGCATCATTACTCCAGTCTTCAGTGTCACATGATCTTTCAGAAATCAGTATAATATGCAGATTTGCTGCTCAAGGAATATTTATTATTATTATCAATGTTGAAAACTATTGTGATGCTCCGTATTTTTGTTGGTAACTGATGCATTTTTTAAGATACTTTGATAAATACGAAGTTCAAAAACAGCATTTATTAGAAATAGAAATCTTATGTAACATTATAAATGTCTTAACTGTTATTTTTGATCAATTTAATGCATACCTGCTGAATAAAAATATACGTTTTTTTTTTTTTTTAATCTCGTGAAAAACATTTAGGTTGTGTTTTACCACAAAATTGAAAGCCAATATAGAAACTGAATCCTATTTTTAGCACAGAAGATTTTATATTGTGGCATTATCTCATTTTCATGAAAATTAAACACATTTTCACCCAAATTCTTATTACCCTAGTGCAGGGGTGCCCAAACTCGGTCCTGGAGGGCCGATGTCCTGCAGAGTTTAGCTCCAACTTGCCTCAACACATCTGCCGGGAAGTTTCTAGTATGCCTAGTAAGAGCTTGATTAGCTGCTTCAGGTGTGTCTAATTGGGGTTGGATCTAAACTCTGCAGGACATCGGCCCTCCAGGACCGAGTTTGGGCACCCCTGCCCTAGTGGATCTGAGTTTTCTGTAAATCCCATTTGTCTCTCCGGTGATTCTCATTACTGAAATACAGTCATTTGACAGTGTTGAATGCCTCTTAAAGTGTTCTCAGTGTGACCAGTTCTCAATATTTTGTTTCGCAGCAATCCCGTGTGATTACGTTATGTGCGTACCGTGACGTCAGTGGCATGTTCACCACTGAGAACAAGGTCAGCTTCCTGGCCAAAGAGGAAACGTCCATCAGAACCCAATCAGAGTCAGAGAGCATCATCCAGGACATCGGGTAACGCTCACACCAGCCACTCAAATGCTCTCATTTGCAGTTTTGTGTCATCTGCTCATTATGACTGTCTTTCTATCTATCCGTCAGTAATGCGTTGGATGATGAGGAGGAGATGCTGTATGGGGAGTCGAACCCTCTGAGCAGCCCCAGTAAAGAGGAGTCCAGCCGCGTCTTTGCAGCACTGAACTCCACTCAGACAGGAAGAGAGGGCAGACAGGAGCCGTCACACTGGTGCCTGCTGGTCAGAGAGAACGGAGTCATGGAGGTGACGAACATAGACACTGACTTACTGAGAAATCTCTGAAAGAGTGTATGCTACTAACTTACTGTTAAGTATTAAAATGTATTCTTTTTTTATAATCTTTAATTAGTATTTTTTATTGTTTTTATTTTAAGTTATTCACTACTTTGATAAAGTTTCTTCTGCTCACCAAGGCTGCATTTATTTGATAAAAAAACACCGTAAAAACACTAATATTGTTAAATAATATTACAATATTAATAAATAAGTGTTTTCTACTGTACTATATTTTAAAATGTAAGCAAATCAGCATATCAGAATGATTTCTGAAGGATCATGTGACACTGAAGACTGGAGTAATGATGCTGAAAATTCAGCTGTGCATCACAGGAATAAATTACATTTTACAATATATTTGAGTAAAAAACAGTTATTTTGAATTGTAATGATATTTCATATTGTTACTGCTTTTACTGTATTTTGAGCACACAAATGCAGCCTTGGTGAGCATAAGAGACTTCATTAAAAACATAAAAAAATCGTACTATTTCCAAACTTTTGACAAGTATTGTAATTGTTTATGATTAAATATTTAATATTTATGTAATATTAAAAATTCCCTTTATATGATCCCAAAACCCATATAATTTACCCAAAAATCCAAATGCCTGTCATCCTTTATAGACCCTCAGTTCATTCAAAACTATCCCTGAACTGCCTTTATGAAGTATATTAAATTGCTTTGTATGAATGCATATCTTATTAATAGATTAATTTGACCTGTTTGGGCCTGTTTGGTTTATCAGTTCATGTAACAAGCTTCCATATAGCACATGTAAAGCATAATCTGATGTTATTGTTCTTATTATTGTTCATTAAAAATGTTTATTGTGATTTTGTTAATCAGATCTACCAGCTTCCTGACTGGCGCCTGGTTTTCCTGGTGAAAAACTTCCCTGTTGGTCAGCGTGTTTTGGTCGACAGCTCTGCTAGCCAGTCGGCTACTCAAGCGGAGCTCAAAAAGGAGGAAGTGATGAGGCAGGGAGAAATCCCATTGGTCAAAGAAGTTGCTCTCGTGTCTTTAGGCTACAACCAGAGCCGTCCTTACCTGCTGGTGAGTGAATCACAAGAGTCTCCCTGCTCTTCTGGACGAATTGAGGTTTAATGTTGTGTATTTGACTGTGTTTGTCAACAGGCACATGTTGATCAAGAGCTTCTCATCTATGAGGCCTTTCCATACGACCAGCAGCAGGCTCAGAGCAACCTGAAAGTGCGCTTTAAGAAGGTACAAACTCGCACTAAATACTCTCCGCAGGACGTTTACTCTAGTGAGGTTTGAGTGATGGTGAGTGGTGGCTGTGTTTTCTTCCTGTCAGATGCCTCATAACATTAACTTCAGAGAGAAGAAGTCCAAAATGAGGAAGGACAAGAAGCCCGAGGGTCAGGGAGAGGAGACTGTGGGGGTCAGGGGTCGAGTGGCCAGATTCAGATACTTCCAGGACATCTCAGGATACTCAGGGGTACGTCTGTCTGAGACTTGGTTTGAAAACTGACGTGTGTATTTCTGATCATATTGTTGTTTTGATACACTTGTTGATGCCCTTACATTGTGTTCAATTCTAAATGCATTCAAAACTTGTATATTTTACCCTTATAAACCAGTTTGGTCAGTCATGTAATGCAGGATTATTTTAGTATTATTTATATACTTTTATAGTATTTTATTCATGCTTTGCCATGTTAAAAATGTTAGTATTTTTATTTATTTTTTTGTATTAGTATTATTACTGTTTTAGTAATTTTGCTATTTCAACTTAAACCTATTTTATTTCACTTAGTTGTCAAGGCATTTCTAATTTTCATTTAAGTCATCTAATATTTATATGCTATTTTATTGTTCTTTTTTATTGTACACTTGTTTTTTTATCCTTATAAACCGTTTTTTTGTCAATCATGTATTGTCTATTTTAGTATTAATTATTATAATGTTATGTAGTACCTTTTATGTGTATTTTTTCTGTTGTCATTTTAATGTTAGTTTAGGTATTAGTAACTTCGTTATGTGCTGTTGTCATTTAAACAAATATATTTGTAATTAACTATTTCAGCCTCAGTTTTAGTAATTTTAGTACTACTTTTTGTTTATTTAGTAAATTTCTATTTATTTTTTAATAAAATTTGTATATTTTATTTCAGCTTGATTTCAATTATGGAAAATCATTTTTAATAATTTCTAAGTAATCAATAACAACCATGCTGGCTAGTTATCACAGCTGGCGTAAGACATTGGCACCAAATTATTTTCTCAAGCACTACATAAATGTTTGGCACTGCTTGTTTTTCAGGTGTTTATCTGCGGGCCGTCTCCTCACTGGATGCTGGTGACGTCTCGAGGGGCGATGCGTCTTCACCCCATGACTATAGATGGCGCCATCGAGTCCTTCTCTCCCTTTCACAATATCAACTGCCCCAAAGGATTCCTCTACTTCAACAAACAGGTAAAAACCAAGTCCACTAGCATTTGGTATTAGATATAAAATCACTTCTCAGAATGAAAAAAAGTGCTGTTCACCCTCCAATGTATCAGAATATCTTGACAGATTAAATGTGTAACTGGAGTGTGTTTGTTGCTTTAGGGCGAGCTGAGGATCAGTGTGTTACCCACATATCTCTCATACGACGCTCCCTGGCCTGTCCGCAAGATCCCACTCAGGTGTACCATCCACTATGTGTCGTACCATGTGGAATCCAAGGTAACGCACAGCTGTGGACAGGCCTCGTTTTCATTCGCATTCAATTTAATATAACGTCTAACCTGACTGAGGTCTTTTAGGCTGGCTGTTTTTGCTCCTGTCCCTTTAAGATTCCATATGTAAATGAGGTCTGTTATAACTGGCTAAAGTCTTTGCATGAACAACAACAGTGTCCTGCATTAAATGAGTGTTGCAGTGTAAATGTGGACAGTCATACTGACCGCGCTTCACTGAAAGATACGCATGACAATCGCAGCTTCTGTCGAATCGCGATCTCGATTCCATTTCGATTTATCGTGCAGCCCTACTGTATGTTCATGCATGTTTAATCGTGTGTGTTTCAGGTGTATGCGGTGTGCAGCAGTGTTAAAGAGCAGTGCACACGCATCCCCAGAATGACCGGCGAGGAGAAGGAGTTTGAGACCATCGAGAGAGGTGGGACACCGTTTGTTTGCTTGTGTACATGGGTAAAGTCATTCGAAGGGGTCTTAACAGTTTAATTGTTGTTCTCTCAGATGAGCGGTACATACACCCTCAGCAGGAGAGCTTCTCCATCCAGCTCATCTCTCCGGTCAGCTGGGAGGCCATCCCAAACACACGGTGAGAAGCACATGATTCACTGCAGGGGACAGTTTTCCCAAAAATGAACATTCTGTCATCATTTACTCACCCTCATGCCGTTCCAAACCTGTAAGAGTTTCGTTCATCTTCATAACACAAATGAAAGTATTTTTAATGAAACCTGAGCGATTTCTGTCCTTCCGTTGAAAGATCACACAGCCGATGACGCTATGAAAGTAATCTGTATGAGTAGAGCAGTTTAATCCTTCTGAAGAGATGTGATCACTTTATATGATGAACCGATTTAAATTAGGCTTTTATTCACATAGAAACTTTTATCGATGCACATACATAGAGCCGTTTAACATATTTGATGTCTATTTATGAACATCTTGAAGCATAAAGTTTTGGTGGAATGGACTTTTAATAGAGGGACAGATGTATCTCAGGTTTCATTGAAAATATCTTCAAGATGAATGGCAGTCTTAGGGGCTGTTCACACAGAATGTGTCTTTGCGTCTAAAAACACGAGACGAAACGCTAAGGAATGTAAAGTGCAGCACAGAACGCCTGCTTGGCCATGTTGCCATCAAATAAAACAGTTGCCATGCCAACTTGCTTCTGTAAACAAAAGCTGGCAACGCTTGCCCCGCCTCCGGAGTCTTCTGATTGGTCCAGTGTTTTGGAACTGACATGATGAGCGGCGCTGCGTGTACAAGTCTTAAAAACGTGGCGCTCATGTGCGAGACGCTGCAAAAGTCATATACATCCGTCTAGCACATTAACATAGAAAAACAACGGAAAAGTAACGCATTGGAATGGGAAAACGTGTTCTGTGTGAACGGCTCCTTATGGGTTTTGAACTGACATGAACACGAGTAAATGATGACGCGTGATAAATTTATAAACTCAACTGTCTGTGTAACGTTGTTGGACTGTCTTGTTCAGCATTGATCTGGAGGAGTGGGAGCATGTGACGTGTATGAAGACGGTGGCTCTGAAGAGTCAGGAGACTGTGTCAGGGCTGAAGGGATATGTGGCTTTGGGCACGTGCCTCATGCAGGGAGAGGAGGTCACCTGTAGGGGCAGAGTGAGTCTTCACTTACATCTGAAAACAGAACTGCATTCATATTACTTCAGTAAATAAGCCTTTTGATCATCACTCAATGGCAGTCAGCTACCAATGCCATTGTAGAAATACTCTGTGTGCAGGTGCATTTGATTCCCATGATCAGTTTATTCCACAACTGAAAGATAAAGAGAGCAATATGGCTGGTCATGTGATCGCAAAATGGGATAAAAACATTTGCATGGTCCAACAACATTTAAAACTGCACCATGTATGACTACTTTTGGTTAGGGCTGCATGATTTATAAAAAAAAATAATAATAATAAAAAATAAAACGAGTTTGGTATAAGGCTAAAGGCGATTATCAAATCATAAAGGCTGTGATTTAAATTGTAGGTCTCCCTGCAAATTTTCCACCAAAAAAGGTCAATTGTTAAAACATAAAATAGAAATAAATAAAGTCAGCCAGATATCTTAGTATTGTAGTCATGCTGTAAAAAAAAAATACTAGATTGTTTTTCTTAAATAAATGTTTTTTTTTTATTTACAGTGTAATATTGCAATAGTCATATTTCTTATTTTGTTTAATATTTTTATTTAGAATTACTATATATAATTGCTTCTTATGAAATGTAATTACAAAATTGGCCAAATTGTGCAGCCCTGCAAACAGGCACAGCAAACTTGTTTTTTTCTTAAATACATGTTTTTTTTTTTGTTTTTTTTTTTAATGAAATATTGCAGAAGTAATACTCAAATAATTGTAAAAATAATTATTAATTTGTTTAATATTTTATTTAGTAATATAAATTATATTTATTTATTATTTTTTAATAATTATATAATTATATGTATTGTATAATAATAATTCTTAATATTTATAATAATATGATTCATTATTGTAAATGAAATATAATTACAAATATGGCCAAATTGTGCAGCCCTACAACAAACGAGCAAAGCAACCTGAAGTTTTCACATTTTTAATTGCAGTCGTAATTTTCAATCGTGCAGCCCGAACTTTGGTCTCTTTTGTCGGCACCAGTTTCTGTTGATCAGACGTTTGTTCTCTGTGACAGATCCTGATTCTGGACGTGATTGAGGTGGTGCCAGAGCCCGGTCAGCCCCTCACCAAGAACAAGTTTAAAGTGCTGTATGAGAAGGAGCAGAAGGGGCCCGTCACGGCTCTCTGTCACTGCAGTGGATACCTGGTGTCTGCCATCGGACAGAAGGTAAACCCCACACGTTTAAACGTGCTGTTAAACACAGTGACATTCTGTTCATCCTGTATAAAGCTGTTGTGTGTGTGTGCAGATCTTCTTGTGGAGTCTGAAGGATAATGATCTGACCGGCATGGCCTTCATCGACACGCAGCTCTACATCCATCAGATGCACAGCATCAAGAACTTCATCCTCGCCGCTGATGTGATGAAGAGCATCTCTCTGCTGCGCTACCAGGAAGAGAGCAAGACGCTCTCGCTCATCAGCAGGGTATCTGGCATGAGTTTGCACTCAAATATCAGTCAATTACAGAATTCAGTTGATTTAAAGGGATATATTTTTAAGTTTGTGTTGCTGTCAATTCGCAGAAATGATTGTCATTTCACAGTAGTCAATTATCCCTCATATTTGGGTTAATGAACCCAGTGCTATGATTGGTTGAATTGTTTTTTTTTTGCTTTTGCCTTTTGTTTGACTTGAGTGCTTAACAGAAAATTAAACATGGTAATTTAGATTTGCAAATCATACCAGTGTATGAAAATGCATACAGTTTGGATATCAATTCCATTCCTCTTTTTATTTCTTCATAGGATGCAAAGCCCTTGGAGGTTTACAGCATAGAGTTTATGGTGGACAACAACCAGCTTGGCTTCCTGGGTAAAAATGTCTTGCTCTTTTATTCTGTCTCATCGTAAACTCGTTTGACCTCTAAAACCCTCTCTCAGTTTCAGACAGAGACAAAAACCTGTCGGTCTACATGTACCTGCCAGAAGGTGTGTCATTCATTTGATTCTTTCTGCAGTACCGTGAGACGTCGCTCTTTCCCAGTGTCTGATATCACACATATGTCCTTCATTATTCTGCCTCTAGCCAAAGAGAGTTTTGGAGGCATGCGTTTGCTGCGGAGAGCCGATTTTAACGCGGGCGCTCATGTGAATGCCTTCTGGAGGATGCCGTGCCGCGGCACTCTGGACCCCGCCAGCAAGAAGGCCCTCACCTGGGACAACAAACACATCACGTGGTTCGGTGGGTCTCCTCACCTGCATCTCTGCACTTTTTTGAACACCTTTGCACCCTAGTAAATAATGGGCATTAATGAAGCATGATCATTGACCAGCATTATTTCCCTATTCCTGGACTCGTGATACCAGTGCATGAGAAAGCTAGCTTTGATTGTCTGTGTGTGTGCAGCTACGCTGGACGGTGGCGTTGGCCTGCTTCTGCCCATGCAGGAGAAGACGTACCGCAGACTGCTGATGCTGCAGAACGCCCTCACCACCATGCTGCCGCATCATGCGGGGCTCAATCCAAAGGCCTTCAGGTACCGACTCACCTCATGAGTACTGCAGCGCTCCAGCCTGTGCTTGTTTTGATACTCAACATTTCCATGACCTTTTTTTTGTAGATTTGCATTTGTATCTCAGCATTTCTGCAATTGTCTTTTTCTTTGGGACAGATTTTAACATGACCTAGAAAGCGTACTGTATCATATTTGATACGCAGATTTCTAAAGCCTCTAAATTACCAACATGATCAAAACTTGATGAACACAATCTTCTACATGCCTTGTCGTCTGATTGATAGTTTATACTTTATACTTTTTTTGCAAGTAAAAGGCCTTTTAGTATCATTTTAAAACATCCCCCTTCAGCTCGTGGTGTCTTTCTGCTTTGAAATCTTCACTGATTTTTATAAAGCAAACGTAAGAATAACTTTTATATTGTTAGTAGTATTTCAAGATGAACACTCACTGGACTGAAGAAACTACTTGATTATTAGAAAATTCTTGTTAAAATGTGAGTATTAAATATGATCATCAGGCTTTTGAGGAATATTTATTTGTTCATCTCTCAATCGTCATTGTATTGCATTGCATTATATGTTTTGAAACTAGAGAGCTTTGATCATAAAATTAACATTTAAATATCATCTTAAGTCTTATTATTGGGAAACTGATATTTGTATGCACTGTGTCTCGTTTTTTCCGTTCTCCTCAAGTATGAGCTCCATATTCACACACTAAAAGCCTGATGCATCAAAAATGATACGGGACAGAAAACACTTTTGAGCATAGCATTAATAAACGTACATGGCATTCATTATGAAACTTACAATTTTAGACATTTTCCTGACGCTTCCAGGCCAGATTTGGGATTTCTGTTGCATGTTATAGTGCATGTCTATAGTGTACGCCCTCAGCATCTGCTGCTGTGTTATGCTGCAGGATGCTGCACTGTGACCGGCGGACGCTGCAGAACGCGGTGAGGAACATCCTGGATGGAGAGCTGCTGAACAAGTACCTGTACCTCAGCACCATGGAGCGAAGCGAACTGGCCAAGAAGATTGGCACAACCGCAGACATTGTGAGTGCTGGACTCAGACACTTACTGTCACACAGTGATTGATACTCTCACAGTGCAGAACAGAGTAAATGACAAATGTAAAGCGCTGGGTGTATATTGAATAATCAGTTTTTATATTTAAGCATTACTGGCAGTTGTGCTGGTACCTAGCGCCTACTTTTTAAGGGTTCATTAAGCAAGAACGTACTTCAGGGGGAAAAAAAATCATTTACTTTTTATCCCTTTGTCAATGAAAATAGTTCCAAAAGATGCCAAGCACTAAGCTGATCTGGACCAAAAAAGAAGAAAAAAACATATTGTTACAAACATTAATGCTGCCTTCATGTGCTATCAGACTTTTTTCCCCACTTCTGAACTTTCATTCTTGAATATTTCTTGGGGAAAACTTTTTAAAGCCCAAAATTTTAGAAGATATATATTCAATATCCCATGGATTTTGAATAGAATTTAGCGTCCCATTCATTGACGAGCATTTAGACTTATCTGGACTATTGTATTTGTTCACTGCAGTGATAGCTTGCTGGCAAATCCAGAATTTCAGTCAAATAAATGCTATTTTCGCAGTGTAAAAAGCGTACAATATGCATCAGATGGTTTTTTTTTTTTTTTTCTAGTTTTAGTTAACAATAATAACCATAGCTAGGAAACTCAGTATTCATAACTCTCATGGCATGTGAAGGCAGCATAAATGTCAGCACTCGCTGTATTCCTCTTGTCCAATCAAATGAGTGGACCAGAACTGTTGTTTAATTCTACTTTAATCAGAGATATCACATTAATTACCTTTGGAGAAGCGCTGACCTGCTGTGACGGCTGAAATCTTCCTGTTCATGAGCGTTTCTGCTTCTCTGTTTGTTGCAGATCTTGGATGATCTTCTGGAGGTTGAGAGAGTAACTGCTCACTTCTGAAATACACTGTGTATTTGCTCACCTGATGATCCTCCGTTTTATATTTCAATGTTTTGATAGGAAATGTAGAAACTAAAATGTCATGCTGTTTTTTTGTTGACCGTAAGAAGGAAATGCAATAAAGGGTATTACATTTCTTAGACTATTTTGTAAAAAAAAATATTGAATGTGTATTGCATGTTGACATCCAGAACAAACACGGTGATACTCTAATGCTTTCAGTGTCATTATTCTTTACTTCCGTCATAGATCGTTCTCTGAGTGCAGCAGGACACAACTAGAGAAAAGCCGTTTTCTCTCACGCGTTCCTTATAAAAACACTGAACTGTCACAAGAATAACACTGTAATCCATAAACCATGTCATTGTTTTGGCAGTGCTCATAAGGGAAGCGTGAGAGAGACATGGTTTGGTTTTCCTTGTTTGTTTTCTGCATAAAATAGTGACAGACCTTTTCTTCTGTACTTTGATTTAAGCGAGTGTAAGTTTATTGAAAAAGAAAAACCTGTAGGGCGGAGATTATCCTTTGGTTGTTGATTGGATTTTGAGATGTGGGTGTTGCACTCAATGAATATGAGCTCACAGCCGATAATGGAGGAGCAGGGTTAAGCTGATAAATTATTGGAGAAGTCTGACATACCTCACCAGAGGAAAGTCTGATATTGCACAAGATCAAGCTTTGACAGTTTGACTAAACATTATGAGGCCACAAAAAAAGACAAATACATGGCTGAATTGTTCTCAATGAGTTTGATTTACAAAATTGATTAATTAATTTTTGGTCCATGCTGACTTTAAGCATTTCAAATGTAACCGATTTCAGGAGAAAAGAGAGCCTGGAGAGTTTGGACTCAGAACAAATGAAACAAAAGGATTTATATTCAGAATAATTGCGTTGGAGATTACACATCCAATTCTGACAATAAGAAGTATATAAATGTTTCCTACTGCATATCAAATTAATCACTGAAATCCACAAGAATACAAAATAAAATGGCACAATTTTTAAATATAACCAGGAAAAAGGTTTCTAGCATTGTCATTGCAATATTATTATTATTTATTATTATTGCCACCATGAAATGATCATCATGAATCATTTTAGTGTTTCAAACTGAGGCCTACAGAAGAAACTAATGTAGCTCAGTGTCTTGAATGAAACAAGTCTTTTAAATGCCAGAATATCATTATTGATAAAAGCTCAATTAAAACGTGCTCGGCTTTCTGTGAAATGCAGCTCGCCAGCGCATACTTCAGAGAAAAGCAACACAGACTGTGTGAGAGGTTCCTGGAAGCTCAAGCTCTGAGCGCAAAGCCACACGCAGCAGGCTCCACAGGCTCAGAGGACAGCGCTTCACCTCAGATACTGATACACGTCCTGCTCCAGCGTGAATGATGAGACCGCAGTAAGACAGCGGCTTCAGCAGAAAGCGAGTCACGCTCATGAGCGCCTTCTCTGACCTGGAGGAACACAATGACAGATTAAAAAGACGTGTGAGAGACCATTCCACGCATATTACACACATGCAAGGCAAGAACGGGCTAAAACCGCAAGCTTGATTCATGTTTAAATGTTAGTTTCATCTGCTGTTGAAATGAGTGTCACAGGGCCCTATGATTTCTGTTATGAAGCCCTATGATGCTGAAAATCCAGAATCCAGTCATAAAAATGGAATGTCACGGAATTTCACCAGCATTCCATCACTTCATCTGATATAAACTCAAAGAGCTACACTACAATCCAGAAAAAGTGAACGTTCCATTTAACTTTATTTAGACAAATTTATTTAGACAAATATATCACTATTGTACTTTAGAAGGAGGAACACAATGACAGATTAAAAAGACGTGTGAGAGACCATTCCACGCATATTACACACATGCAAGGCAAGAACGGGCTAAAACCGCAAGCTTGATTCATGTTTAAATGTTAGTTTCATCTGCTGTTGAGATGAGTGTCACAGGGCCCTATGATTTCTGCAATGCTGAAAATCCAGAATCCAGTCATAAAAATGGAATGTCACGGAATTTCACCAGCATTCCATCACTTCATCTGATATAAACTCAAAGAGCTACACTACAATCCAGAAAAAGTGAACGTTCCATTTAACTTTATTTAGACAAATTTATTTAGACAAATATATCACTATTGTACTTTAGAATGTACATCTCAAACTAATAATAAAGAAAATGTTAAAACTTTATTTTTTAAGGAATATCTAAATTTTATTTAATTTTAACAGCAAAGCACTTTGTTTTCTGAAAAAAATAAATAAAATGAATTGTTTTTATTTACATTTAAAAAATGCATTAAATTGTTGCCGTTTCAAGCCTTCATTTGTTTACCACAATTTTTGATGATAAATGTGTATTAAATCATAAATCCAGAAAAAATAAAATGGACAACATAGAATTTCTGAAAAAATAAAAAAATAAAATAAAAAAATCATAGGGCCCTATTATTTTAAGTAAATTATTAAAATGTTTCATGTGTTCTGTTGATTAGACATTTTTCTGATTAAAATTGAATTAAACCATTAAAATGGAAATGTAAACAAAACACTGAATTTGTGAAAAATTAAATGGAAACAGATTTTTTTAGGGCCCTAAAAATGTATTTTTTGTTAAACTTTTGATAGGTTGTTAAATTGCATAAGACTTTTTAATAAGTAAAATGTAATTTAACCATCTAAACAAAATTCACAAAAATTAGAATGGAAAAAAAAACAGTATTTGGGAAGAAATAAAATGGAATTTAGGGGGGGAAAAATGAATCTGATTAGTGTTCTCACCTTAAAGCGAATTCAAACTTGATGCTTTCCCAGAAGGAGCAGAGCCAGTGGAAGACAGACAGTGTGGACAGCATCCTGGTGTCGTCGGCCTGAGCTCTGCCCCATCCCCTCACAGCACTGAAACACACACACTTCACTCAAATGATGAAGGGTGAGCAGCAGCACAACTCTTGCCTTAACTATAAACACAAAAATGTACATGGGGCAGAAGTTATTAGTCAGGTTTCAGTCAGTGGAGCCTCTACAAATGTGGTGAACTGGAATCATGTACTAGTCGTTTCACGTCTCCTACCACTTGGCCATGATGAAGTAGCGGTCGACTGGAGCTCCCAGAGTGATGTTGATGCAGCGGACGGTGTTGATGTTCCTGAAGACCAGCAGCATGGACTTCAGCACCTGCATGATCTTATCAAAGCGGTTCACGGCCATGTCACGCATGTAGGACGTCTCCTCTCGCGTCAGGATGTTACCCAGACCCAGATCCCACATGTTGATCAGCCGCTGCAGCAGCATCTCACTGAAGAGAAAGTATTCTGGGACGGACCAATGAGATGACACACACACACACACAAGCACACACACACACACACACACAAGCACACACACACACACAAATACATAAACAAACACACACAAACACACACACACACATACACACACACACCCACAAACACACCCACAAACACACACACACACCCACAAACACACACGCACACGCACACACACAAACACATGATATATATTACCGGTAATTCAGATGTATAAAAACATACTTGCATCTTCAGAATTTATGTTAAGGTTAATTTATATTAACTTTGGAGTCTGTAACATTCTTATTTTTTGAAACAAATAATGTAGGACGTCTCCCTCTCGCGTCAGGATGTTACCCAGACCCAGATCCCACATGTTGATCAGCCGCTGCAGCAGCATCTCACTGAACAGGAAGTATTCTGGGACGGACCAATGAGATGATAACATCAAATTACTGAATGAATTTTTGTACTATATCCAAACATTATTTTATAATTTATAAAATATATTTAGGTGTTTAATACATAACTTATACATAGCTATTATATATTATATATAACATGATATATATTACCGGTAATTCAGATGTATAAAAACATACTTGCATCTTCAGAATTTATGTTAAGGTTAATTTATATTAACTTTGGAGTCTGTAACATTCTTATTTTTTGAAACAAATATTTTATGTTCACCAAGGCTGCATTTATTTGATCAGAAATACAGTAAAACAGTAATATTGTGAAATATTATTACAATTTAAAATAATTGTTTTCTATTTTTATATATTTCGAAATGTAATTTATTGCTGTTATCAAATCTGACATTTTTTTGCATCATTACTCCAATCTTCAGTGTCACATGATCCTTCAGAAATCATATTCTTATAATTTTAGAAATTCTTTTCTAATATATGCTCAGAAATAGTTCTAATTAATGTCAATGCTCAAAAGAGTTGTGCTGCTAAATATTTTTGTGGAAACTGTGATACATCTATTTCAGGATTCTTTGAAGAACAGAACGTTCAATAGAATTTTCTTAGAAGATTTATTTGAAATATAAATCTTTTGTAACATTCTAAATGTCTTTGGAGTGCTATAATGCCATACAGTAGCATTCAAAATGTTGGGGTTAAGATTTTATTTTTTTTAAAACATTATGCTCACCAAGGCTGCATTTAAAATGGTTAAAAAAAAACAGTAATATCTGAAATAATATTACAATTTAAAACAACTGTTTTCTATGTGAATGTTTTAAAATGTAATTTATTCCTGTGATCAAAGCTGAATTTTCAGCATCATTACTCCAGTCTTCAGTGTCACATGATCCTTCAGAAATCATTCTAATATGCTGATTTGCTGCTCAAGAAAGTTATTATTATTAATGTTGAAAATGCTTTGTATTTGCGAGGAAACCATCTTTTTCGGGATTCTCTGATGAACAGAAATTTCAAGAGAACAGTATTTGTTAGAAGTATAAATCTTTTGTAACATTTTAAATGTCTTTGCTGTCACTTTTGAACAATTTAATGCATCCTTGCTGAATACAAGCATCAATATCTTTTCCCAAAAAGAAAAAAAAAGAAAATGGAAATACTAGTGCTGTCAAACGATTAATCGCATCCAAAATAAAAGTAAGTAATAATGCATACAGTACTATAATACTATATAAACAATACTAAAAATCATAAAAATAGTTGCATGTATATATATATATATATATATATATATATACATCATAAATATACACAAGTACACACACACGTGTAAACAAAAACTTATTTTGGATGTGATTAATCGTTTGACAGCACTAATTGGTGATATAAAATGATGTATGTAAAACTGCAGATGTACTGATGAATTGCTAAAATTAAACAAATGAACATTATTACAGGATCTTCACCTGCAGACTCCCTCAGCTAGTATCTTCATCTTCCTCCTCTCTCTGGGCTCTGAGACCGCATACTGCCCCCCGAGCCCGAGCCCGAGCGGCACACCCACCGAAACGCCAAGCAGCAGCTTCCTAAAGAGCCTGTGACGCTTTACAACTCTAGAGGAACACAACACAGTCCCGGCATCACTGGCGATACTCTCTCCTTCACTATAATGCAGTGCTTGCTTTGTCATATAACACACAGAGTGTTTCCAACCTTAAAATGAAGTCAGACCCCAATGAAGCAAAAGCAACCCACCTGTGTGAGGAAAGAACTTCTGCTGGAGCACTTGGAGGCCTATGAGCCGAGGACACCGCCGTAACAGAGACATATGACGCTGACACAACCTTAACTGAAGCCTAAGAAAATAAACTGAGACTGAGAAAGTGCAAAGAGCCAATGTCCCAAACAGAGAGCTTCTGTCCTAAAAACAGAATTGAAACATGAATCGCTGCCCTTGCAAAATAGTTTCAGGTAACTACAGTTTCAGCCAAAATACTATAGTAACTCTAACAAAGGTACTGTGACTGCCATGCTAAGAGATGGCAGAACATGAACAAAAACACATTTTCAGGATTGGGTTGCAAATGACCATATTCATGCACACACCACATACATGGTAGTGATATTACACTCTAAAGTACTTTAAAAAACAGCACGGTGCTACTGTAAGACATAGCCAGAATATGCAGGATTGTTATGGCACATAGAAAAAAATTTCTTTTTTGTTCGTGCAGTCTTTTGTCCACAACAAAACCCCACAATATTCCAGTAGTTCATGATTTACTGCATAAGAATTACGGATAAGGGTTTGAAAAAATATTTGAATGACAATTTCTAAAAATATTTTAGATCTTAGAGCTTTTTTTTTGACAGTGAAAACCCTGTTCTTCCAACAAAGAAATAAACAGGCAGATAGATAGATAGATAAATAAATATAAAAATATTTTAGAGCTTATTTATGTTTTTTTTTTCCCACAGTGAAAACCCTGTTCTTCAACCAATAAATAAATAAATAAACAAATAAATACATACAGTTGCGAAAGTGAACTACAAAAAAAATTTTTTTTTTTCAACAAAATAAATGAATCATAATCAGACCTCTGAAAGCTGTTTTGCATTGTTTAAAGGAGAGTGTTACAATAGTAAACAGTTAGCTGTAGTAACTACATTATTTAGGCTATTGCTTCCATGTTAATGCTTTGTAAGTGTGCTGCTGGTTATCAGGAAGTGCTAGAATGTGTCGACACACTCACAATGAAAGTCAACGAGTTTCAAGCGCAGCCTCTGGTTGTAAAAACGGCCGGAATTTAAATTCTTGAAGAAACTGGATAAACTTTCATGGGTAAGAATGTGTTGGTTTGGGTTTATAACATGCGTTAACTCAATATTACAGGTTTTAAACTATAGTACCTTTTAAATGTCGGCTATACGTCTTGTTGTATTGTGTTATCCTCTTCTGATGTCTATTGCAGATATAGATATTTGTACATGCAGGGTTGCAGACACACAGGCAACTTGCTCTCGAGTGTCCACGGACCCGCGGTGACCGTTCCAATATGGCGGACGGCAGTTGCTAATGTGGAATCTAGCTATGCATATCTGTGGTGCTCCCCCTCTAACAGCACATCCAAATATTATTGTGCTTTTGGAATAACTTGAGCAATCGAATTCGATAAACAACTAAGTAATAATATTAATATACAGAAAAAAACAAACAAAATAAAAACATGTTTATGTGAAATGCGGAGTGTGTGTCTTTAATTAAAGTGACAGTAAATGTTTAAAGTGAGGCAAGTTAGAGAATTACATAATAAATAACTAAATAAGTACGCAAACAAGCAAATTAATGAATTAAATATAATAAAAACAAATACAAACACACAGAAATAATATAAACGTAAACTAAAATAAACTTAAATAAAAAAATGAAACGTAAGTGAGATTAATTTGTATAGAGATTCAACACTTGACAATATTTATTTTTATTTTTTACTTTGGTGTTACTCCCTCCAGTGTTTGAGAATATTAATAATATTTGGATCATCACAACTATGCAAAATGGCAACACGTCTATATAGTCTATTTATGATTAAAAGTACAAAGCACTGTAAGCCTCCCCCATCTGAAACAAACAGAGGTAAAATATTATTTTTTTGTAATTTTTATTAAATGTAATTATTAATTAATTTGATTGTTTTCATGTATTTTATTTATTTATTATTATTTTTAATTTCTCAATTTTGTGACCCCCACACACGTTCAGAGATTTTTGTTCTAATGTACTGTTGCATGCCATATGTCTATATAATGTTACGTTTTTCTCTTCTTGTGATAATAATTGCAAAAAGCTAATACCGACAAAACAGTCACATTTGTATAGAAGAGTCTGCGAAATGCATACACGTAAAGATGAAATATATAACAGATGCATTTTCCTCTTTGAAATTCAAGATTTGAAACTCCATCTGGTCAAAAACAGTGAAAATATACCCACTGACCAGTTTCCAAGCAGCTGGTGTGATCATGATATTTCATCAGATTACATCACACAAACCAGGCTTTTGTCTGTCTCAGAGGGGGAGGGGACAGATAGACACAGTTTGTTACTAATGCTCAGGTCAGATGTTCTCTAAACCACCAGTTTGATGTGACTGTAAATATTTATTATTATTATTTTTTTTTTTTTTACAACTTTTTAAATATTTATATAAAATATGATTATCATTACTGTTTAAGTATATAATTGTTATTTTTATTATTATGAACTACAGATTGTACTCTGATATTTGTATTTTAAATTAAGAGCGTTATTAAAGTCTCCCGGAAGTGGAAAGACTCTCGGAGGATGTCACATTGCATATACATGCATCGATGCTCCACACTCCAGTTCAGATGGTGGCGGTAATGCACTAATAAGCTAGTCTGCCAACCGCCAATAAACAGTAGAAGAAGAAGAAGGAAAGACTCTCGCTCGTGCTGCAGCCTTGTGTTTCCTGTTTACGGGCGGGAAGAGTGAACCTGCGCCTCAGCCTGTCCTGCATTACAGCTCATTTTCATCGCTGCGCGCCTCCGTGTTGTTGTTTTTTTACTCCTTTTATTAACTCTCATCGAACGCTTCGTGCGCTTTAAAGCTCTGATGGCGGAGCCCGCGGACTCCGGCGGTGGAGCGGCAGCGGAGGGCAACGCGGCGCGGGTGACGGAGGTCCGCTGCCCTGCGGGAGTGCGTCCGCTGCGGCTGCTCGAGTGGAAGGTGAAGCCCGGAGCTCTGGTCAACGTCGACTCCGTCATCGCGGTTTGCGCGCCAATCGCCGCCGAGAGCGAGTCCAGAGCGGCCGAGAGGAAGCTGAAGTCAGACCGCGCTGGAGCTGTGCGGGAGCTGTGCTGTCAGCTCGGACAGGTCATCGCGCCCGGGTAAGACGCGCTCTCACCGGCGCTTTAACGGCTGACAAGTCTTTGTCCGTTACTCGCTTATTAGCTGAGCGTGCTCACGCTAAGCTAACTCCCACGCGCCCGGAATAAAACACGTTTAATGGCATGTGAAGGCGTTGCACGTGGTTGTTGTAATATCACCCATGAAGTGTTCATATTACCAGCCAGATATCACTGAAATGTATTTTGAGAGATGAGCTCGGTTAGCCCTAAGCTCTGTTGACAGCAAAACAAGAGTTGGGGGAGCGGCCCGCTCTTTTTAGCCAATCAGAAACGCTCTCTGCATGTCAATCAATTCGTGCCCTGTGCTTTGCTGGCTTCGGATTGGCTGACAAGTATGTGGAAGGCGGGGCTTGGACAGAAGGCGTGTTGTTCAACGCGTGTCTGATTCAATCGTTATCGTCTTTCCACATGATACCCTAATGTTTACATGTCCACCAGCAGGGTTGTTACAGAAATGCTGTGGGATTAAAGACCTCCGATATTTAAATGAGAGTTTTGTGAATGTTTGGCCATGTTTATTGCAGGTCTTAAAAGGTCTTAATTCGCCCTTCCATAAATTAAAGCCTAAAAGGATCTTAAATAGGAGCAGAAAGTCTTAAATTCATAAAGTCGTGCCATTAAATGTTGAATACACTGCAATGATTTTTGTTCCCCGTACAAATATCGAACCATCCATAAATCGAGATACATTTACTTGAGATGCAAATTGAATTTAAGAGCAAATTACAACAAAACAAAATGTATGCATAAAACAAAGACAAATATCTGTCAAATATCTATATTTCCCTTTGAATTAATTTGATTTAAGTTGGATTACATTGACATTGGCAGATATTTGTTCTTGTTTTAATCATAAACTCACTTAATTTTGGTTCTAGGAAGTAAGTGCATCTTGATTTAAGAATTTTTGGCCATTTGCACATGAAAACAAGACAAAAATACTGATGAAAAACATCACTTTTGTGCAGTGTGTTCAGAAGGTACAGTAAAAGCTATTTCCACAGCAGAGCTATTCAAAATTCAAGCCTTAAGGTTTTTTTTTTGTTGTAAAATTAATTAAAAAAAGTAATGGAGATCTGTTGGGAGTTGTATTCAATTTATACCTTAAAGGGATAGTTCCCCCAAAAATGAAAATGACCCCATGATTTACTCACCCTCAAGCCATCCTAGGTGTATATGAATTTCTTCTTTCAGACGAATACAATCAGAGTTATATAAAAAAATGTCCTGGCTCTTCCAAGCTTTATAATGGCAGTGAATGGGTGTTGAGTCCAATAGAAGTCCAAAAAAGTGCATCCATCCATCATAAAAAGTGTCCCACACAGCTCCGGGGGTTAATAAAGGCCTCCTGAAGAGAATCGATGCGTTTTTGTAAGAAAAATATCCTTATTTAAAACTTTATAAACCGTGATCTCTAGCTTCCGGTAACTGTCGTACATGCGTTCACGAGAGAGTGGCGTTCTGGCGGATGACGTAGGCGTAAGCTTCGGTGAGATGTGACGAACACAGAAGCACAGAGGAGAGAGCAAAACAAAACACTGGTCATGAATTACAAGTACAACAACGAGGATTTGTAAAGAAAAATATTGGAGGATTTTGATATACGCCAAGAGGAGACCGGTTTTCCTTTGCTGTAAACAAAACTTGGTTCTCGCAAGACTAGCATATTCTCACCGGAGCCAGGAAAGTTTTTAATGTAACTTCGATTGTATTCGTCTGAAAGAAAAAAAATCATGTAACACCTAGGATGCCTTGAGGGTGAGTAAATCATGGAGTAATTTTCATTTGAACTTTTCTTTACTTGGTCTTAAATGTTTTTTAAAAGTCTTAAAAGTACCTTCATAAAACCTGCAGAAACCCAGTATTAGATTAAAAGAATGTCATTAGAACGACATTCAAAAAAAAAAAAAATTGCTTGAATGATAAACATGCTTCAATAAACACTAAACTATTTCAACAAATCCAAGTAGCAAAACTACTTTAAAAAAAATAAACGATAATTACTCATCCTCAAGCCATCCTAGGTGTATATGAATTTCTTCTTTCAGACGAAAGAAGGCATCATAAAATTGGTATCGAAAAAAGTATCGTTCAGGAACCGGTATCGAAGTCAAGGTATCGGTATCGGTACCGATATCGAAAATTTTTGAACGGTACCCAGCCCTGACTAAAAGATTTTTATTTCATAATAAAAAATCTAAACGACGTTGGGGATCGGTGACGCGGTGAGCAAGTGACGTAACCGGTGTTGCGTCTTAACACAGGTATCACCGTCAGCACCGTCTATCGCGGCAAGCCTAATCTGACACAGTGACTATTGTGACCGACAAAAATATTGTGTAGTCTGAACCCGGCATAAGATATAATATTAAGCCCGCTGTCACTTTAAGAGCAGCACGGATCCAATTTACCGTTACAATCGTATATTCATTCTCAACTCTTTACGTTTATTTATTACATGACCGACGAAGGTATACATGAATAATCACTAAGCGCCGCATTTTGACACATTTTTGCGTGTATTTCACCGCTTAGGCGCGCACCTTGAGCTAAAAGATGACTTTACACGTCCGTGTTGTGTTCCGTCTCTGAGCGCATATATCTTCCTGAGGAGCAGCGCAAGTTCTCTTTCACGCTTTTAAAAACATGAATACATATACTTCTATAAATCAAGCACGTCCCATTTTGCTAAAGTCACGTTACATGATTTTACTGATTTGCACGTGAAATTGGGCTTTTATAGAGGAACGAAAGCGCAGTGCAGGAAAAGGGGGCAGAATGGGGCGCAATAATCGTTTTATCTCGATTATTGTATTTTAATAATCGTTGGAGGCCGAAATCGTTTTTCGATTAATTGCACAGCCCTAGTTTGCACTTACACTGGAGTTTGGAGAGCTTTGCATACATTCTCCCAGTCCTGAAATATCACCATAATGCTGCTTATAGACTACTGTTCCCCAAGCATAATGCACGTGGATGAAGTGCATTTCATTAATGCTATGTTTATTTCGACACTGTTTTGTCTTTTTAACAGGAGTGTAATAGCAAAAGTGGAAGAATGCAGCCATCCTGTTGTAATGAAGGGCTTGTGTGCCGAATGTGGCCAGGACTTAACTCAGTGAGTATATCCATCTTTATTTTGTGCTGTCAGTGTCCAGTTCAGAATTATTTCTGTCCTCTTACCTGAGAAAGTAAAAAGACGTCTGTCGAGAGCCATTCAAGAAAAGCTATTATTGTTTTTCCCTGTTTTTCACTTGTCTCGGCTCTTAGAGATATTTCTGCTAGTGTGTTTGAGTAACTGTATGGTGCTGAAGATGCTTTTATGTTTTCAGACTACAGAGCAAGAATGGAAAGCAGCAGGCGCCCATCTCTACGGCGACCGTTTCCATGGTGCACAGTGTTCCCGAGCTGATGGTCAGCTCTGAGGTGAGTGCCTGCAGTTTGCCGCTTGTGAGGATTGCGAGGCCCCTATATATTTCAAGTGAAATCAAAGAACGAACTGGTGTGATGTCATTTCATTCAAAATCAGGCCAAAACGAACTTCATTTTGAATTTGCTTCTGAAGTTCGAAACGGCTTGCCAAAGCAACGTTTTTGGAAACTTTGCTGTGGCTTTTAAACACATGACACTCTTGCTTGTGTGATGTTATTTATTTAACTATGTCATATCTTATGAATATAAAAAACAAAACCCATACAGGGATAGTTTTTGCTTTATAGTAGGGCTGGGCAAAAAAAAAAATCGATTTTCCGATTAATCGTTTTTTAAAATAAAGCCGCGAATCGATCTTTTCCGGGATTTATTTCTCAGCACATTTAAAACAAGATCTGATTAACGTGAATCTTATCACTAGTCTTCTCCACTAGATGTCACCCTTATTTACCTTGCGCGATGTTACAACAGAAAGCCTGTCATTCATTCAGCGCTTATCATGGCCATAGGCGTGATTCGCAATGCTCAGGTGAAATGCTATAGTAATATTATAAATCTGCGGAAGCATTTGATATCACGCATAAGGCGCCATGATTTACGCAATGAATGAATGGCGGATGGCGCGGCGCACTTTGATTACTACACACATACTAAAGCGCGGATGAGGCTCGCGGTGTTTTCAGCTTCTGCCATCTCACTATATGATGATATGAACACGAATGTCATCTCCAGCTGCTCTGAGAGTCACTTCATTAGCATTTTACCGTTTCATTTGAGGAAACTACCATCATATCACATTCAGAGCAGCTGCAAGTTCAACTATTCTAATAGGCTTCATCACGCAGTGAATGCTTTTGGACTCTCAAGGTGTGTTTTTGTTTTTTGCAAAGTGAGTGGCATACTCGATAATGTCAGCTCACATATAATTAAAACAGCAATTATGATATTATCATAGACGATAAATATCACGCACCCCTATTGAGAGGAAAGCCTGCAGCGCATATTTCTATATTCATTTAATTTTAATTCAGATGATCACTAACAGTAAACTGCTGCAAGGGTATTTCAAGCTTTGAATTTTCTCCTAAGCGAAGAATGAAAAAGAACTTCACTGTTAAGTAAATGAGGACCTTTATGAGTAACGCGTGTAATTCATCAGACAGTAGTTTAAAACACACGCCACATCTTAGTCAGGCAAACAGATAGTCCTGTCCGAAGCACACACTCTTGGTTGTGCCAGCATTGCTGTGTTGGGCTGGTCAGGATGCTCAAACAAACAGAACGATATTTCGATCATTTTAAAACATGCAGTTTACATTTAAGTATGATACGTGGAAGCATTATGATCTAACACACTTTGGGTTTTTTACCTGTTTGAGTGTTGCTTTTATACAATGATGTTTGCATGTAAATACAGACAGTTTGGTATTTTTTTTGATGGTTTCAAATGGACTTTAATAAGTGGTTGTGCATAAAGTGTCCATCAGTGTCCGGTGTTGAAACGCAGTGTGTTTTGTCCCCGTGTCTCTGAGCAGCAAGCAGAGCAGCTTGGCCGAGAGGACCAGCAAAGACTTCACAGGAACAGGAAGTTAGTGCTGATGGTGGATCTGGACCAAACGCTGATCCACACCACTGAACAGCACTGCCAGCGCATGTCCAACAAGGTAACAGTTAAAACGTTCACACTACACTACCATTCAGACGTTTGGGGTCGGTAAGATTTTGAAAGGCTGCATTTATTTGATCAAAAATACTGTAATATTGTGAAATATTATGTATATTTAAAATAACTGTTTTATATTTAAATATATCTTAAAATGTAATTTATTCCTGTGATGCAAAGCTGAATTTTCAGCATAATTTCTTCAGTTTTCAGTGTCACATGATCCTTCAGAAATTATTCTGATATACTGATTTGATTATTATCAATGTTGAAATGTAGCCTATTTTTTGTAGAAACTGTGATACTTTTAAGTTAAAAAAAACAGTATTTATTTGATTAAATCTTTTGTAACATTATAAATGTCTTTACTGTCACTTGATCAATTTCATGTACAGTCAAACTGAAATTTATTCAGACACCTTCAACATTTCACACATTATCACAGTTTATTCGCTATAGTTTAGAAAATAGTAATAAAATATGACAAGACCTCACAGTTAAACTGTGTCAGAACAAATTCATCTTCATAATGTCAGATAACACTTAAAGGGATAGTTCACCCTAAAATGAAAATTTGATGTTTATCTGCTTACCCCCAGGGCATCCAAGATGTAGGTGACTTTGTTTCTTCAGTAGAACACAAACGAAGATTTTTAACTCAAACCGTTGCAGTCTGTCAGACATATAATGGAAGTGAATGGGAATCATGGATTTGGGAGTCAAAAAAACATACATAAACAAAACCAAATTAAACCCTGTGGCTCGTGACGATACATTGATGTGTAAAGACACAAAACGATTGTTCTGTGCAAGAAACTGAACAGAGATAGGTGGTGGTAATGCACTTATAAGTCTGCGATCCGCCGTAAACCGACGCGCTCAGGACAGTTCAGACATTGCAGTGCATTCTTTACATTCAGGATGCCCTGGGGGTAAGCAGATAAACATCACATTTTCATTTTTGGGTGAACTATCCCTTTAAGCAAAACATGGTCGGATCAAAGTGTCTGAATAATATTTGGTCTCAAATGTTTATCAATTTTACTGGTAGTCCACTGTATGAAGAATTTTTGTATGTAATATGTCACAGTTTACTTTTTGCTATCCTCACTTACATTACTGAACAATAGTGTCCTGCACCCACTAGTAATAAAATATCAAAAATTATATCTGGTGTCTGAATAATTTTTGATTTGACTGTATCAAATTTTTTTTGGCATTTTTTAGAAGTTCAAAAGAACAGCATTTATTTGAACTAGAAATTATACATTTTAAATACAACATTATAAATCTCTTTACTGTCACTTTTGGAAAGTATCAGTTTCTTTAAAAATAAGTCTTAATACTGACCCTAAACAGTAGTGTAATTAAAATGTTCATGAACAATAATGCTCAGTATTTATTTTATATTTCATGGATTTTGTACTGTTTCTGCTGGTTTTAGTGTTTTTTTATGAACGTAATAATATGGCATTTGTTTAATCTGTCAATGGTGTGCTGTTATTGTGATTTATCTACAATACCTTCATTTTGTTAGAGTTTATCACTAACCAAAATAAGATCATGCAGACAGCCGTACGGTTTTCTTTGACTTCTTCGTGATCTCATTTGCGTATTTCTGTGAACCCCAGCGAATGTGGGTGTAACTGGAAGCGTTGCTTTGAAGAGCCTAAATGCAGCCGAGCATTGATTGATTTCCGTTTAAATGACTGCATCATACTCTTTTTCTCCACTATCATCCATTTTCGATTCATTCTTCTTGTAGGCGTTAACGCTTTCATTCTGCCAGGCGTGCATTCGCTCAGTAGATCAGCTCGGGCAAAAAACTATCTCAGATCTTTATACCAAACAATTACTAGACCATTAACTGAGCTATCAAAGACTCAAATGCTTTCCTCAAAGACTGCATGATGTCTGCTATCACAAATTTTGCCAGTGTGCTGCTTTTAAAGCATTTTCCAGAGCAAAGTTAATGTTCCTAAAAGCCTCTGATAGAGCTGGGCAGCACTGAAATGCAGCAGTATAGAATATGCATATGCTTTTCACTCTAAAGCAGATACACTGCCATCCAAATGTTTAGATGTACTTTCATTTTTAGAATACTAGGACACGTTTAATTGATCAAAGTAAAGACATAAATTAATTTTCTCTAACTACCTTGCAATGTTTCTCCAGGGAATCTTTCATTTCCAGCTGGGACGGGGGGAGCCTATGCTTCATACACGACTGCGGCCTCACTGCAAAGACTTTCTAGAAAAGATCGCCAAACTCTATGAGCTGCACGTCTTCACCTTTGGCAGCCGTTTATACGCTCACACCATTGCAGGTACATGAATAATACTGATAACTACTGATAGGTTATCCGAATTTCTCACCTGGTGGATGATAAAACACATCAAACAGTCTCGTAACTCCTAGTGTTTGTGTGAGAGGTTGTGTTGGCCTTTCACAGTGACACCAGGTGGCAGCATTTGTTCATATTCTGAGTGTTTTGAGTTTGAGGATGAGTACATTGTTTGCTGTGTTTGGATATTTAATGCAACATATTAACAATAAATGCATCAAAAGTGTCATCTGCAAGAACCGTCCTGTTGTCTGCTTTGATAAAAGCATCTGCTAAATGACTAATAAACATTAAATCGGTTTAGTGATGTTCCACTTGTGGTGGTGTTTATTATACACGTCTATACTAACCTATACATTTTTCAGTTCAGTTTTGGTTCAGGTAGGACTTTGCAGGCTATCTTCAGCACAGTAGATTTCTCCGTTTCGGGTGTGTGTAGCATCCTTTGAACAAGACCTGAAGAGTTCTTGCGTTAAGTGTTTGGCAGCTCAGCATCGGTACTTCCCACAAACCCGAGTGAGGAGTCTGGTTGTGGTGATTCATATAGACACAATCAGCAGTAGATAAGACGCAATAAAGGAAGTAGCTCAACTTTTCTGAATTGAAGTCTTGATTTATAGTGCGGGCAGGAGATTGAAAGCTTGGCAGGGCTGCATCTTTTTATTTTTCCTGTTTTCCTTTTATTACAGCTGTAAATAGTCTCAGTTCTGTCTGAGTGGAACTACAGCATTTACTGTTGTGCTCATAAGTTTACATACCCTTTGAAGAATATGCAAAATGTTAATAATTTTCACAAAATAAGAGGGATCATGAAAATTGCATGTTATTTTTTATTTAGTACTGTCTTGAATAAGCGATTTCACATAACGGATGTTTATGTATACTCCACAAGACAAAATAAAACTGAATTTATAAAAATGACCCCGTTCAAAAATATACATAGCCTTAAATCTTAATACTGTGTGTCATTTCCTGGATGATCCATGACTGTTTTTATGCTTTGTGATAGTTGTTCATGAGTCCCTTGTTTGTCATGAGCAACTGCCCGCTGTTCTTCAGAAAAACCCTCCAGCTCCTGCACATTCTTTGGTTTTTCAGCTTCTTCTGCATGTTTGACCACTTTCCAGCAGTGACTGTATGATTTTGAGATCCATCTTTTCACTCGGAGGACAATTGAGGGACTCATACATAACAATTACAAAAGGTCAAAACATTTACTGATGCTCAAGAAGGCAACACAATGCATTAAGAGC